CGCCGCGGCCGCGCCGCGGTCTGCGCCCTCGCGGCGCGCCGCGTCGGCGGCCGCCTCGGCCTCCTCCAGGCGCCGCGCCAGCTCAGACTTGTCGCGCATCGCCGCGGTCGTGCTGACCTGCAGCGCCTGCAGGCGCCCGCGCAGCGCCTCCACCTCCGACTTGAGCTGCTCCCGGTCCTGCGCCGCCGCGGCCGCCGCCGCGCCGCCGCCGCCCCCGCCGTCGGCGCCCATGCTTCTTCCGCCGAGGGCGCCGAGCTTGCGGGAGAAGTCCGCGGCGGGTCGGGCCGCGGCGGCGGCCTCGGCGGCGCGGATCCTGGCGAGCAGGCGGCCGTCCTCGAGCGCGCTGGTGTCGACGCAGACGGACGCGCCCGCGGCCTGGGCCTCCAGCAGTGTCAGCTGCAGCATCAGCGCGCTGCTGTGGTACGCGTTGGCGACCTCCTGCGCGCGCGCCGTCGGCCCAGCAGAATGCAGGCGCGCGGTGCGATGGTTGAAGGGCGCCACGCGGGATTTCAAAAGGGGGCACGTGCAAGAGTGAGAGTTTCTTGGCGGCGCTCCCACAGGCGTGCCACTTGCCATTGGCAGCAGTCCGCAGGCAGTCAACTTTCTGTGCAGCGTCTGATCCTGGCTCTGCCTCGACCTCCCACAAGGCTTCCGGAGCACCAGCTCTTCCCTTTGCCCGCTTTCATGCATGACATGCTTTGCTCTGCGGGGGCGGTCTCACACGGAGCACCCACGTGTCGCGCCCAGGCAAGCTACAGGGGCGGCGGCCTCGTTCACAGGACACAGATATTCAAGAACATAGCATGCCGCGCTGAAGTGGCGACGACCTTGAACTGAGCGCATAGATTCGCGAAGCGTAGGAAGGTCTGCTGCAGGGGCGGCGACCCCGCGCGGGGCGCGCACCTCGTCCACCTGCTTCTCAAGGCCGGCCCTCAGCTCATCCAGCATCTCCAGCACCTCGGCGCCGCCGTACACGTCCGCGCGCTGCACCCGCCGCGCCGCCAGGTCCTGCACCAGGCGGAGGCACTCCTTGACGTGCTGCACGCGCTTGGCGCGCGCAAAGCGCAGCAGCTGCTGGACCTGCGCCCGCATCGAGCGGGACAGCGCGCAGTGATGAGGTGCGTGAGGGTGAGGAGCGGTGAGCAGCTGGACGGCAGGCGCAGAGGGTGAACACCACTGCTGGGGATCAATGACCTGCCTGAAGGTCGTGTGCGGGGCTGAGCTGGGACGCCATCACGGCGATAGTGCGGAGCTGCGCGAAGCACGGTTGACTGCGCGCGCTGCGGTCAGAAATACTGCCAACTCCTCTATCTTCAACCCAGGGCGGGTATATAGCCAAAGCTCAGATGTCTATTCGTGCAAGCACTCAATCCCCCTCCACAGAGCTGTTGTTTTGCTGATATTCGACAAAGTCTCAGGAACCGATCTGGATCTGTTTGATTTTGCTAGCAGCGTTCCATGTCAAGTGCTCCGACAAACTTGCAGCTAAAGAAGGAGGCGGAGGAGAAGGTTGGCGAGGGCGGCCGCGCGTGCAGCACACGTACTCGCCCCTGCAGCACTCATGCTTAGCCCACACAATCGTGTGCAACAGGTCAACTTATTGCGGGTTGCTAAGGCTGAGCTGGACCACTTGAAGCCCGAGCGGGTGAGCGGCCGCCCAGCAGAGCGCAAGCCGCCGTGGGGTGTGCCTGCTGTTGCCGCCTTATTTCTGTGATGCTGGGGCCCGACAACAGCCTGCGTGCCTCTCTGCTGCGCAGGCGGTGTATCAAAAAGTTGGTAACATATTCTTCCGTTCGGACAAGGCTCGCGCTAGCAAAAGCGTGGCAGGTGAGCTCGGGGCTGTGCACCCAGGCAATCTTTCAACATGCTTGCAGCGTGTGCATGATGGCATGCTCAACACAGTACCACATGCAAACCTTCACAATGCATTGCAGACAAGTTGGCCGCGGCCTCGGCTCAATTGGAGCAGCTGCCTGCGGAACCCCAGAGCAGATAGCGGGCTACAGCAAGAGCCCAGCGGCGTCGCGGTCCCCGCCAAGCTCCTTGGCAACGCATCTGCGTGCCTTGAGCGGCGCTGATGGCACCGAGGAAGCACCGTGCGCCGATTGTGCCCCGCCATGCGCCGCTTGGCGGCGCGGCGGCACATGTCGGCAACGGGAGCGCCGCAACCGTTGGCAGCGGCAAGGTGCAGAATTCCAAGGGCGCACCCAGCAGCAAGCAGCTAGACCAGGGGCAGCGCGGCCGTAAGCAACTGCATGGCAACAACAAGCAGCAGCAACACCAGCAACAGCAGCAGCAGCAGCAGCAGCAGAGCTACAGACCACCAAAGCACCTGAGCAGTCAGCAGCACGGGGCCCGGGGCCGCGGCTCTCAGCAGGGGCACGATGGAGGGCGCGCCGCCAACGGCATGACGGCAGCGGCCGCCTCCCAGGACCCTGCGGCAGCAAACACAGTCTCGCAGCCGCCGCCCAAGAAGCAACGCCTGGGCGTCGGTTCGCAGGGGAATCAGCTGCCGCGGCAGCAGCAGCAGCAGCAGCAGCAGACGCTGCAAGATCCGCGGTCCCACCAGCAGCAGCAGCAGCAGCAGACGCTGCAAGATCCGCGGTCCCACCACCAGCAGCAGCAGCAGCAGCAGCCACAGCAGCAGCAGCAGCAGCAGCAGCAGCAGCACAAGAAGCAGCACAAGAAGCAGGGGAAGCAGCAGCAGGAGGGCCAGCAGCACGCTCAGGAGCCGCAGTCAACAAAGCCGCGGCAGCAGAACCAGCAACATTCGCAGCACCAGGCAAGGCACAAGCAGCAATCACAGCAAGAGCCGCAGCGGCAGCAGGGGCAAAATCATCATCAGCAGCAGCAACCGCAGCAGGCGCAGCAGCAGCAGCAGCAGCCCCAGCAGCCGCAGCAGCCGCTCCACAAAAAGCCCAAGCACAAGAAGCGCAAACGGTTGGCTGAGGGCGAGGCCGCAGCAGGCGCAGCCGTTGCGATCGACATGGCATGCGTTGCCGCGGTCGCGAAGGCGCCACCTGGGAGCAATTGGCAGGCGCTAAAGCAGCAGCTGGCGGAGCAGGCGGCTTCGGCACCGAAGCGTCGCCGGCGGCAGCCGCAGGACGGCAGCGGCAGCACTGGGAAGGACAAAGAGGCCGCAGCAGCAGCCAAGGGCATCGCCAGCATCGGCACCAACACGGCGCTCACAAACGTTTTGGCGGTTGACTGCGAGTTTGTGGGTGTCGGGCCCGGCGGATCCATGGACGCCCTGGCGCGTGTCAGCGTGGTGGGTGTCTGTAGATGGCTGTCGCCAATTTGCACGCGCTGGGCGCGCTTGCCAGCGGGGGCCGCGGCTTGCACGACGAGCGAGCAGGAGGAGTGTTGACTGGCCCGGCGTCGTGTCTGCCACCGCCGTCCTGGCTTGGCCCCCTGTGCATGCTCCGCACGCTGATGTCGCTGCGATGTGCGCCGCCGTCGACATTGCCGCCACCCACACACATTCCCCTTCCCCTCGCTGCCTGGCTTCTCCCTGATTTTTCTGCATTTTTCCATGTCAGCAACTGTCAGCCATCCCCTGCAACTGCCCCGCCCGCTCCGCCCGATTTGTCACAGGTCAACAACGAGGGTAATGTGGTGCTGGACACATTCGTGGCCGTCAAGGAGAAGGTCACAGACTACAGGACCTGGGTCAGCGGCGTCAGGCCGCAGGTGCGCTGCCCTCTGCGGCCGCCCCGCGCGCAGCCAGCTCCGCGTCGCGTGCCGGGCGGCCCCCTGCTCCCTCGCGCGCTGCAAGCCTCGAAGCAGCTGTCGTCTACGCCGCCGGCGTTATCGCGGCCGACGGAGGGGCAATCGCACAGCCCCGGCCCTGGCCAGCCTGCCCCGCACACCTCACCGCGCTCCTCCCGCGCCCGCGCCAGGACCTGGTGGGGGCGCCTAGCCTGGAGGACGTGGCGGAGCGCGTGGCGCGGATGGCCGAGGGCCGCGTGCTGGTGGGGCACTCGCTGTCGAAGGACCTCAAGGTGTTGCTGCTCAGCCACCCCCGCAAGGACATCCGCGACACGGCAAAGTGAGCCCTCGGGACGACGCTCCCGGCCTGAGGCTTGCGACGGGGCGTGGGGTGCGACCGGGCTGGCAGCGGTTTGGTGCACCAAGCTGGGGAGTTCGCCTCGGAGAATGCAGTCGGAGCGGCGCGTTAGCACGTCACGCCACACCGGGCTGTGCAGCAGCCTGGCGCCCCTTTCTCGGGCTTCACTGCCTGAAACGGCGCGCCCAGCGCCCTCCCGCCGTGGCACCCGCCATCAGCACCGTGCTGCCCCATTACCAAGCGCGACCCCCCCCCCCCAGGTACCCGCCCTACATGTTCAGCCGCGGCGGCAAGCGCCGCCCCCAGGCACTGCGCCAGCTGGCCAAGAAGGAGCTGGGGCTGGAGATCCAGTCGGGGGAGCACAGCAGCGTGGACGACGCGCGCGCGGCGCTGTACCTCTACCACAAGGCGCGGCGGGAGTGGGAGCGCGCGGCGCGCGCCGGCGCGGTGAGCAAGCTCCCGACGGCGGGGCAGACGGCTCGGCGGCGGGAGAGCTACGGCGCGCGGGACGTGCGGGACGACCCGATGGCGGACCTGTGAGGGTGCCCGGGCGGGTGTTGCGAGCGGCTGGCGGTTGTGTGTAACTGCAACGGGCGACGCGCATGGCTTCGGTGTGCCCTCGAAATCGGGCGGAGCCTGCTGTGGCAGGACAGGCAGGCGAGTTATGAGGGGGGTAGACAGCAGGAGGAGGCGGGGCGGGAGTCGTCCTTGCCCGCGGCAGCTTGCGGCGGCGTGCTACATGAGCTTTGGGCTGTCGTCAACATGCGGCGTGCGGCTGTGGTCATCACCACGAGCGCCAGACGTGCAAAGCCACTTCCACTGGGAATGCAGCGCACGATTTCAGCGCAACATGTCCCGCCGCCAGGCGACTCTACGTCCCCGTCGTCGTAGCTCGCGCTGTGCTGGAACGGACGTCGGCGGCCAGTCACCGGACCGTCGCGACATTGTCACCAGCGCGGAATGATGTGGTGCAGCAGGTGGGCTTGCCTTGCGCGATCAATGAACAAGGTAATCAAAAACAAAATTGGATATATCTGCACCCCTCTCAAGGACTCTCAACGCTTCACCTCGCGTGCCCGCTGCCCAGCCTTTGAGCCTTGCAAGCTCGCTTCTCCGCTGCAACACAGGGTCTCAGACCTTAACGGGATTTATTCTTGTCGTTTGGCTGCCTACTAAGCACGACAGCAGTCATGGGCGCGGGAGCCATTGCCGAGGGTGGGGATGCTGCAGGCGTGCAAGCCCCCCTGAAGCTTGTGGGCTACGACAAATTCAAGCGCCACAACCCCAAGAGTGATCGGTTCAAGGTCCACCGGTTCCACCACATCGAATTCTGGTGTGCCGACGCGACGAACACTTACAAGCGGTGAGTTCCCCGAAAACGACAGTGCGTTCGAAAAATCCGATCGATTGACACGCCCCGGGACGCTTCCGATGGTCGGCATGTCGTGGCGGGCGGTGCGGTGATGGCAGCACGCATGCGTGCTCTGCAGCTCGTCACAAAGCGGGCCGCGGTGCCAAGCTCCTAGGCAGCTGCTGCAGCAGTAGGGTGTTTAGTAAATTGAGATCTGCACATGCACATGCACGTGCTCCCCCCTTGTGGCGGGGCTCAAGCATTGCCGACGCCAGCCATCTGCCTCCGGTTATCAGCCAGGTCGGCACGCCCTGCTGACCGGGCGCACCCCCATCGCAAGGACGACACCCGGTAGTGCGCCACCAGCAACGTCCCCCCCCTCTCCCCCTCTCAACACCCTCCCTCCGACCC